AAAGTAGTGGGTAAAAGTTTAAGGCATAAAGTGGAACTTTAATGCTGCTACTTATCAAAAAAAACACCACCTGTGCCGTGCTAGGTTTTTGTTTTTAACTGACATCAAGGCAGAACAGTTGACTTTATTTTTTAAATATCAAGGTGACCATGCTGTTCTGTGTGTCAGAATCAAGAACGTAGCAGCAGCTGTGACAAAAGCAGCTAGACTCCACCTCTTTCAAGCACAGGAATGGCAGAGGCTGCAGGATGGTACCCAGGATCACAGCTGTACAGAGAAGTTCTCTAAGGCTCAGCTGACAAGTGAGTTGCTATCTGTTTGTTTTTTTTTTTTTCTTTATATTTAGTACCCTGTCAAGTTACTTGTGTATTTAGAATATTTATTTCAGTGAATTTGGACTTTGCATGAACTCAAGTAAAAGCAGGACTTTGGCCTTCTGTCATTAAAAATTATTACAAGGAAATAAAATTGCTTTGTTTGCCTCACATCAGAAGACTTTGTTTGCAGATTATGATTTAGGGCACTGCTGGAAAATGAGTGGTCCCTGACAAGTAGTGATTTTAATGCAAACAGCCAAACTTTATGACCAGTTCCAGGGTCATGCTCTCACCTGTACGCAACTCATAAAGGATGATGTTGGGCTGAAGTTTTAATTTACTCATTCAGTACAGAGATTTTCTTTAACTCTGCTTGGTGTAAAAATCTCCCTTTTTTTTTTTGTGTCTCAAACCTTTCCATAAAAAAAAAATTGTGTTCAATATTTGAAAGAATTTACAAAGAATACCATTGGAATATGAAACTGAAGAACTTGGGAATCTGAATGTTTGGGACGACCAAATGTACTGTTTGAACTATTAATTCTATTGCAGTGGAATGAAAAAAAAGATTAGAGGTAAACTGAGGGAGCCTGCTGCAATTACCTCTAAATTTCGGAAGTGAGTGCTTGGAAGGTGGGAGTAGGTAGTCAAAGTATACAATAAAGGGGTAATTAAGCTTCAAGGCTTTTTGCTCTGTTTCTTTGTTGGTTTTTTTTTCCCACAACTTCATAGTCATCAGGTGTTTTGTTTGGGTTTGTTGGGTTTTTTTCTCTCTGTAAGGTCACCTGCAAAAATTAATCTGGGTTATGGTGCCTCTACTTTGTAACTTGTCTGTATTATCATTTAGTGTTCTTTCACCTTCTTATTTTGTAATTTGATAGTCATCACTGAATCTTGCATTCAAATGTTTTTAATACTTGAGGTGAGAATTACACCAGTACAGAATATGTGGGTTATCTTACTGTCTTTTACTTATGAAGGAACATTTCTCATTTTTCAGGGGGCTCCTGTTCTCCAGTTCTGTGGAAATGACATTTTTTAAAGAAGAGAAAATAAAAATAAGATTATATTTTCATGATAGTACAAACCTGTCTGGCTTTGATGCACAAAACACATTAGAAAACTTTTAATACAGTATCAAAAATGAACTAATCTGGTTAAAGCTTGAGTATCCATCTAAATGTAAAAGAAGAGCAACACTGAAGAGCATTCAGTTATAGAACTGGAGGACAAACATGCTGAAATAATCATTCTTGCACCATTTATTGATTGCAATATTACAAAACCTACTTAAAGTCTAAATTTTCCTTTAAGAAATTCATATTAGAAACTTAATTCAAATATATCTTAAGTGAATAAAGCTTCTTTTTGAAATACGTTTCCTCTGTGCGGCCAGAATCCCGAGAGTAACAGGCTGGTGTCCTGGGACATGTCATAAGGCAATCTTGTACAGATGTCACTTGTAAGGATGTAGTTCCCTTACACCTGATCTGAGCTGAACATGAAGAGCTCCTGAAAGGATTGGTAGTTGGCCTGTCACTCCTGTCTGTACAGCAGTATACTGTGTTTAGGAACCATGTGACCACAGGGTGAGTTGGATCTGCTCACTCATCTTCAGCAAAGTCAGTTACATTTTTATTTTGTCCCATTTCATTTCCTCAGTTAGTTTGCAGGTTTGATGGAAAACTGATTAAACACACTCTGTGTGATCCTTCATCTCGATGCAGGTAGCATGACCAGAACTCAGCTGAGAGTCGAGGTGGGGAGTAAAGGTTCCCCTGCCAGGTGCAGTTTGTCTGTCATTTGGATTAAGCACCACATGAAATCCTCAATCTGTTTTAAAAGTCTTGGGGGGTTTTGAAGGGAGCTCTTTCACTTTGTGTGTTTGATTGATGAGGTACGTAGCTCCAGAATGGAATGCACACTTACCATTACCCAGACAAGACAAATTGCCTGTGTTGGGACACTTTTTCTAGTTCATGTGTTGTCAAAATTTGTAGTTCGTGACAATTGCTGCAAAGAAACATTTTGTACATTTCTTCCTGGATCCTGATGTTGCTCAGTTCAGGCCTTCAGAGAACAGAGAATAACTCTTTGTAGTTGAAACAAGTTTATTTAAATTACCGAAATGTTTTTCACAAGTAGGCTTCAAGTTGGAGATTTGTTCTAAAGTTTGTCTACAGAATATTTAGGGACAATGATTTTGTTAAGGGTTGGTTTGTCTGTATGCCTGCAGCTTTTTCATTCAGAAAGGCTTTTGCATATAAAGCAGAAATAGCTTGTTTTGTAGATTGTTAATGACATTTTTCCCTTTCTTCATCCTTAGCCATTGTCATCTTAAACTATTAAGGTGAATTAATCTACAGCTTGGTCATTATATTGTTATTTCTTCTACAGAGATGACTTTCATTTGTGGTTGAGCTGATTAGCACTCCAGCTTGTTGATCAGTGCATCAGTACCTACAGTACTTCGCTTTTACTTTCCAAACATATAAAGCCACAGATTTCATTTGCAGCAAATGTTTATTTTGGAGAGAATGTGCTTGGTTAGCAGTCGCTTTTAGGGAGAATAGTGGTAAGACCAGTGAGCAGATGAAATGTCAGTCTCTTCTGCAATGTTATTAGATGATGGTCTTAGCCTTTAGCTGTCAATTGAAATTGTCTGCTACAGTTTGGGGAGCACACTGTAAAATATGCAAAATTGTGCCTTTAAAACATGGACATTTGTTTACTGAGCTCATGTGGCTGTTCCTGTTTGATTCTTTACAGATCTTTGAGAACAGAGCAGAGTAAATTACACAAAAGTAGTTTTCCTATCTGCTGGCTAATACAGAATAGGTAGGCCTAGCTGTGCTCTACTAGAGATCAGGAATGTGCTAAGCACAGGAGACACAGTTTGCAGCTTGGAGCCCTCCCAGTGAGCCCAAAAGCTGCAAGAAGGAAGGTGGTGCCTATCCTCACCAACTCGCCTGCCCCTATTTGAGACAAAAGATAAGGCTGGAATTCTGGACTCTGGAGTTACGGCTAGCTCTCAAAACAAGGACTGTTTTGTACTGTATGCAGTTTATAACCTGTGTATGATGTTGTGCATGTAAATATTATCTTCATTCAAAGATGAGTTTTCTAAAAAACTAACCATTTACTTCTATTTTGTTTGTTTCTTTGTTGTTTTTGTTATGTTTGGTTTTTTTTCTCTTCCAAAGTGACTGTGAACCACACAGAGCAAAATCTGACAGTGTCCCAGATTCCTTACCCGGAAACATGGTATGTGTTTTATGTAGACAAGTTTACCTGCGAGGAGAATTATTCTGAATCCGAGGATATTCAGTTTGAAATGGTCTTGCTAAACCCAGATGCAGAAGGGAATCCATTAGATCACTTTAGCGCAGGGGAATCTGGTAAGATTTTTTTTCTTAAAATTAGATTTTTAAGTTAAGGATCTGATCAGCCAGACAAATCAGTACTTATTATGCTTGGAAAAGTATTGGGAATGGACAGCAGAGTCTCTTATATTTCATTTCTTCCTCACAGAGAGTAAACTTTAATTAATTTTCTGGCATTACAAAATAAATCCTTCTTTTCTCTAGAATGACTTTCCAAAACTTGCCTCACTGAAAGTATAGATACACAAGGAGTGTCACTGTTAACCTCTTTGCTGATAGGTATTCTTCCCGTGTCGAAACTGTAAGCTTCTGCTTGAATGTGAATTTAATCTCTCATTTTAATGAATTCATTAAATTCCTTAGCTGTGTAAAATTTGATTCTGTGCAACACAAGTACATGCACAGTAAAACATTTTGACAGTAGAATTTCAGTTCAGTGTTTAGGTCTTTCTGAGCACAGGCCACAGATCAGATGTTTGTCAGTCCTGGTTTTATGCTAAGAAACACAATTTTAAATCTTTGTATGTGCAAAGGAAAACTACTGGAAGTGACTCAAGACAGCAGCTGAAGAAGTGTCTAAATAAAATTGTGTGCTTTGTACAACCCGAGCCAACCCAATGTGTGCTTCAGTGCAGTGCTCAGCTTCCCTGCGCGGGGAGCCGACCTCCATCTGCTCCAAGGGCTTAGTCTGCCTTCATAGATGGGTTTAACCTACATATCCAGAATAGGCCCAGTTTTGCTCAGAATAGTGTGCCCTGCTGTTATTCTTGGTCTCAAGAGGATATAGAGGGAACAAAGGCAGCTCCCTTTTCACAGGGAAGAAAATACTCGCTGAAACATTTAGCAGGATCTGTAAGAAAGTAGCACTGCTAATCATTTTTTAAGGCTTATAAATTGACTTACATATCTTTTTAACTTCTTAACTGTGCTTAATATAATAGGTTATTAATAGATTAATATACAAACCTAATTGGCAGGATTTATTTGGTTAATTTTGTATCCAGAAGTGAATTCTAGGTTAATTTACTTATTCTCAAAAAGCAGTAGTAGCATTCCTTTACTAAATCAAGGAGCAAAGCAGATGTAAGACACCATGTGAGCCTTGAAAGAGATATGTAGACTTCCTAGAGAGGCATCACAGCTCTATATTAATTTTGTAGGAAGAATTTCAGCACTTTGAAGCAGAACTCTGAACAGCTTGCACACTGAGTAAGGAGGAGTGTACACATGTTGGATGCACAAATTTAGATCTAACAACTAGAAAGCAGGGTGAGCTGTACATGCCATGTTTTCCACAGTCGTAGAGGAACACCTATGTTTATTCAAAATTAAAACCTGCATCACTGCCATGAACTGCAGAATAGTAGGGGTTGGAAGGGACCTCTGGAGATCACCTAGTCCAACTCTCCTGCTAAATCGGGGCCACCTAGAGCAGCTTGCACAGAAACGCTTCCAGGTAGGTTTTGAAAGTCTCCAGAGAAGGAGACCCTACATCCTCTCTGGGCAGTCTGTTCCACTGCTCCATCGCCCTCAAAGAAAAGAAGTTTTTCCTTATGTTTAGGTAGCACTTCTGTGTACTAGTTTGTGCTCATTGCCCCCTGTCCTGTCTCTGGGCACCACTGAAAAGAGTTGCCCCATCTCTTGACACACACCCTTTAGATATACTTACAAGCAATGGTGAGATCCCCTGTCAGTTGCCTCCAGACACAGAAGTTACAATTCAAAATCTGAAGTTACATGCCTGTGTCTTCTTTCAAAGAACTGAAGAGGACTCTAGTATTTCTCAATCTCTTTGCTTGTTTTAAATGCATTTGTGGGGAATAACGTCATTTTTTTTTCCATAGAGGTGTGCAGCTTAGAACATTAGGGCACCAGAGAGAAGATCCAGCGTCATTTCTTGGTTCTTTCATTCAGACCACTAAAAACTACATAGTTACAGATGGTTCTGGTTAGGTCATCCTTCACTTTAGTCCCTAAGTCGTGGCCTGACACAAGAGATCTCAAAATTAAATGGAGCAGAGGGAAGGTGTAGGAAAGAAGTTGAGAGTGTAGCTTTGTGGTTACAATGTTTGCCGTGAGGGAGGGGGCGCCCTGGCTTTTGATCCCTGTCGTGCAGTCTTTTGTCATTTCATGTGATAGGGTTCTTTACATAAGACATGCTACCAGTAGAATCTAGGTTTTCTAAGGGCAGGTGACCAGGTAGACAGCATTTTGAAGATCTTTGAAGTTAGGTATTTCAAGTTATGCTTCATATGGTTTATTTTCCCTATCAACTCTAGCTTACTTGAAAGTCAGGAAATTTAAAAAAGACAGGCCAAAAATCACCCTTCTGGGGTTTTTTTATAGTTGTATTTCAGTGCAGCTTTCTCTTAAATTCTTTTGGTTTCAGGCCAATCATCCACGATCTGTCTTTGGTTGGAAGGAGCTTTCTATCCTAAATGCTTAGTGTTTGTTAAAAGCTAGTTCATTTTCCAAAAGAGTTTTCCATGTGTAGCCTTTCATCATGGTGAGAAATAATTTACATACAGAATCCTTGCCAACTTCAGTAGGTGTCTTTTGAAGCAGAAAGATAAAGAGTGAAAGAATTAGAGATTTAATCTAAAATGTATATTTTTGTCTTTCATAAATCATGCTTTTGAATAGGTATAATGGAGAAGCAGAGTGGCCCTGATTTATTTTTTTTTTAATGAGTCTTTGTTACTGGTATACTCTTTTTCTCCCATTTCATTTTATGTATGTCTAAAATGATTAATTTTAGCCATAGAAATTATAGTACTAGCAACTTTGCAGAACTCATGGAGTTCTAATGTTTCTCAGCTTTGATACTGAAATGCATGTAACTGCTCTGATTCTAATCTCTGGGTAGAGCTGGTTGGAAGTTTTTAGCAGAGTTGTTTTGCTGCTGAAGGAAAAACATTGTTCAGAATCTGATTCTGTAGATACCATTTGGTTTCAAGGAAGGCTGAAGAATGAAAACATGATTTTTCTATAGGAAACGTCTATTTACACGTTTCTGCATATAGCTCACTGGCGTTGACCTTTTAGGAGCTCATATGGTGGCTTCCAAAGCTTCTGAACAATAGAAAAGATTTCCAGGATCCAGGTCTTCAGGGAAGCATTTTACCAGACTACTACCAAAGCAAAAATTAGAGGACTTCAGTTTTGTAAATAATATAAAAAAACTTTGGGCTTTTTTTTGAGATTGCTGAAAAAAAAATCCACTCTATGAACTTCCTGTTGTTCTGTGTGCTGGTGTATCTCTTGAATTTTCTGTCTCTGCCAGCTTTATGTGGAGAAAGAGTGACACCCAGTGGATAAATAGATTCAACAGAAGTCTGTTCTGGGCTTCTCTCATCTCACGTCATGCCTTGAAAAACTGAAGCAAAATAAAAGCTCAAAATGAGTCCTTAAATATGTTTCTGATTGATCAAATGTGCCATAATTACTTTCTGTTTCTCAAGAAACTGTGTGCCATTTATACTATTTCAATAAGTGCTACAAAGCCATTTGTATTGAGCAGGATCTCTTCTCAGAAATGGTATTGCTGGATAAACAGCACTTGGTGCGCTCAAATAATCATCTCTAAAAAAATCACTTAATTTCTGGAATAAGATGGGCTAGGATTTACTCATTTTTATCCATACTACCAATTTTGGGTGACAGTTACTAAGTATTTCCTCCTGAGTATATAAAACCATATTTTGGTTTAGTTACTTGCTGGTAGTAGCAGTGTTTCTCTCTAACAGCTAAGCTGTGTTTGTGTTGTTGAAGGTTTGCACGAGTTCTTTTTCCTGCTGGTCCTGGCGTACTTCGTCACCGCCTGCATCTACGCGCAGTCCCTCTGGCAGACGCTGCGGAAGCGTGGGCCCATGCACGCTGTGCTGAAGGTGTTGACAGCTGCATTGCTGCTGCAGGCTGGCTCAGCCTTCGCCAACTACTTGCATTTCTCAAGGTACCTTTGCTTAGTTTTGCTTTCTGGCGTGAGACTTGAAGAACACTGTATTGCAAAGACCAGTACGTGGTCTTCCCTGCGGCGGCTGTGACAAAGCATTGGACTGACTTCTTAGAGCTATGTCATTGCCTAAATGTACTCTTGGGAGAGAGCTCTCATTTAATACTCACTTACTTAAAACCATAATCTTTTTATTCTTTTATCAGTTACTCTAAAGATGGAATAGGAGCACCTTTTATGGGAAGTCTGGCAGAACGTGAGTATGCTTGTCTGCAGTTTGCTACATATTCTTCCACATCCACCTGTTTAGTACTTTAGCAAATGCTGGGTTGGGAGTGTATTATGATCTTGGACCACATCACTGGATCTTTACTATAAAATACTAGAAGTCACTGTTCTGAAAAGCAGGTTTTATTCTGGATGATTGCAGCAACTGTATTTGAAGTTACACAATCATATACCCTTTGAGGTTTTTAAAAGGATTTTCTTATCTGAAGATTCTTTCCTATAAAACAGTTTAATACGTGTCTATCACATGAATAAATGCTTCAGTATATGGAAGGGTTTTGCAGAGTTTGCATGATCTAGAGTAGCAAAGCTTTTTAGGAAGTTTAATCATGTCTTATGGAGTGTGTCACTTCACTAGCAAATTTAACGTTGATTATAATCAAAAACTGTTTTACAGCACAAGTGATATGATTAGAGTGATGTAAAAAAACACTTGAGTAAAGAATTGACATTAACAAAGCTTTTTTCTCCACTCTGGTTTCTTCCTGGAACGGAATTCCTGTAACATCCTTTCCTACAATGCATTAATTTACTCCTCCTGGATTCTTCAGGGTTAAACATTGCTGTTGGGGTTTTTTGTCTTTCCATAGGTCACATACGAAGTATTGGGGGGTTCTTTTTGTAGTAAAAAGCCTTTTGATTGGCTTGAAGCACCCCAAGAAAGTAGTAGTGTGATAGTGAGATAGTGCTGGAGAGTAGCAGCCTATAGAGAAAAGTATTTCCCTGTCTAGAGTTCATCTAGAAGCTTGCAGTTGGAATTAACAGCCTCTTGATGGCACTTGGCACCACAATAATCGCTGCTTCCTTGTTTTAACTATCCAAGTTAGCAGCTCCTTACAGCCTCTCCAGCAGCTAGCTGTGTTATTAAACTTTTCCTCATGTCTGCTGAAATGAAATTAAATGGGGGATACAGAAGTAGTCCTGGCTCCTCCCCACTGAGACATCTGGGTTTAACTACCCAGCCAGAAATTCAGAGGCAGTAGCTGCAGGTTAGATGTTCTGTGTATGTTTGTTGTGAAGAGCCCAATTTTATTTGCTTAAAGCAAAGATTAGTACGATGCTATTTTTTTATCAATAGGTGCATAAAGAAACACTATTTTACTCTTAATAAGAATTTCTCAGATTCAGCTGAGTTTTCCTTGCCTAATGTTTTTAAGGTTCAGGGTTCCCAAAACAGTAAAAAAGCAGAAGTAATAGAAATGTGGAAAGCTTCAATGTCAATTACAGTTCTGAAGAATGGCTGATAGTGAGCAGTATAGTTTGAAGCCTGGAAGTACTGCCATTTTTCCTACGTTGGAACAGAAATCCAAATTTTAAATAAATGATAATATTTCTATTGACTACCGTGAGGCCAGAATTTCTTTCTAGAAACCTGTCCAGATACTATCGCAAGCAATTATTCTTTTCCTACCATCCTTTAGTCTTTACCATGTATAAAGACAGGACCCTAAGTAATTTATCACCTAAGTTAATTGCATAAATCACAGAAATAGTGCTGGCACTCAGAAGCATTACAAATGGCAATCTCTTTAACTGTTGCTAAGAACAAAATGTGGAAAAAAAAATTATGATGTTATTATGCCTGTTGAACAGACAAAAAAAAGATGAATCAGACAAATGCAGTACCAGCTCAGCAGCCTGGGACTTTACACTGACCCTGGATATTGTGGGATTATTGTAATTTTAGAAATTTCTCTCAACCTTTTTATTTGTGTCAAGGCGTATGAAATGTCAAAGATTAAAGCCATTGCTGAATTTTTATCTTACACCATTTTGTCTGGCAATCCATTTCAATTGTTGCCACACTGAAGCAGAGCAGTATCTATATCCAAGACATGATTGAGAGATGGTGTCTGGTTATAACTTCAAGGGCAAGTTATCTTAAGGAGTGACAGAAAACTAAATGCTCTCTAGAACATCCAGATTTGTTCAGTCATTTCTCCAGCCTGGATTTGTGACAATGGTTTGACATGCCTTGGGTCCACACAACAGTTTTTTCTAACAAGTACTGTATCTCCATAGCTAGCACTGTAAAACAATTCCAAGGTGGTTTTGCCCCAAATCAGTGCCAGTTCATTTCACTGAAGAATGAACGAGTTTTTATTTACTAAAAGCTCTTGACATTTCTTAAACAGCAAAGGTGTCTGAATACATCAAGCATTTAAGCATGTAAACTGTGAGAATGCCAAATATATCCCAGGAATAACATGTTGAAGTCTGTTTTGTATCCATATTTTGCTAGTATTACCGGGAGTCAGGGAAGTATTGTAGCTGATCTTCATTTGACACACTCCCCTTGTGTGCCTGTTAATCTCTGTACGGTGACAATGTGTTCTGTGCCAATATTGTTAGCAAATGTGGAAGTGCATTTAGCTTTTATAATACAGTGTATACAGTTGTATAGAAACAGAAATCTGCTTCTGTGGCACACAAGTATTTTTCTTGTACCTGATAGTGTGAGTGAAAATTGCAAGTAAGGAACAAATGTAATTGAACTGAAATACTAATCAAATGAAAAAGAATGCATTTTTGTGTGTAGTGCCCAATCTCTAGTTTCTGAATCAGATTTGCCATTTACATAAGAACCAATTTTTCTTGTACCCCTCTGCTATGCCAGCGCCATGAGCCAGCTTACTCTCAAGTCCACACACCAACTGACTTGTTTGATAGGTTTCAGTCAAAAACTTATCAGATCTAAAGCTAACAATTGCCCAGAAAGAAATATTCAGTTCTTTTTACTGTCAGTAGTGCTTCAACAAGGCTAACAAGTAAAGGCTTTAATATATTCCAGCTTGAAGTTTTCTTTATTCAGATACAGCTTCAAACACAGGTTTGAGACGCTGATTAAGAATGTAACTTTATGGAGTATGTGTTAATTGTTCCCAAACAGAGGGGAGAAGAAAAAAAAAGGACAGAGCAGAATGAGGCAGAGGTAGTTTGCATTTAATAAAATGAAATTTGCTCCAAATGAAGTTTGTGTTAGGGTTATTCATTATGTTTTCCCCTTTAAGTATCTGAGAGTGGAATTTGTCCTAAATATTTGTGCTTTCTGTTGGCAAGCTAATGCGTCCTTAAGACAAAGTGCAGTTAATTTAAAGTACAATGCAACTGTCTGATTTTTGAACAAAAGTGTTTTCAGAGCAAAGAAAGGAGTCCATTTCATCATGTTTCATGTTTGCACGGTGATTAACATACATATGATTTTAGTTCTTTAGAATTTATAAGTCCTTTTATGCAGATGTACTCCTGAGCCCAGACTTCTTTGACACAAGACCAGGATTTGTAAGGATGTGGCACAGTGATCTTGTTGCAGAACTGCAGCCTAACTAGAGAAAAGCTGATAGTGATCTGTTTGGTCACTGGAAACTACCCAAAATACTCACATTTTGTGGCAGAATAACCTCAGCTAGTCAAACTATCATCAAAATTATGACTTAAAAGTCATACAACAGAGGCAAAAACATCAATCCTTCATTTGTGGGTATACAGAACATTTCACTGTAGAAAAAAACCTTTATTTTTCTTTTGTTTTCAATAGTGTGTGACATAGTCTCACAAATACAAATGCTGTATTTATTGCTGAGTCTGTGTATGGGTTGGACAATAGGCAGAATGAAGAAATCTCATGGCAGACCTCTTCAGTGGGATTCCACTCCAACATCTACTGGCATTGCTGTAGCAGTTGTTGTTACACAGGTTAGTGTTTTATCTTTGTTCTTATACTGAAATACACAGCTGCTCTTAAGTGTGACAACCATGAACCAACTGATTTAAATATTTTATGAGAGAAGGAATATCAAGACTGAAAGAAAAACCCCACAGCACAATGTGCACCCAGTATATCTAATAGGTAATAACAACTTCTATTTATTTCAACAGTTTAAGATGTAACTCCACAGTATGTTTTTGTTCAGCATTAAAACCACTTAAGAAGTTCCAATAGTTTCCCAAACTCTTGATTGTGCTAGTTGTTCAGAGCATTATACTGTAAACCAGATCAGTAGAATGATCTATAATTGGGGGTGGAAGTGAGATTTCAGCAGTCATTTTACTGATCTGATTTGTAATATAATCCTATAAATACTTGTAATGAGTACAAGTGAAGGGTTGTGAACTACACTGAGAAGAAGGACAAGAAGAGCTGCTGTGGGAAAATCTATGACCAAAAAACCCCTGAAATCCTCAGTGCCCTCCTTTTAGAACCATTCAAATAGAGTGTCCAGTGGTCTTTTCAATCAATGTAAAGGAATTCTCGAAAGGTTTATGTGCAGGATTGGTCTTGCAAATATACAAATGGTCTGACACATAATTTCATTCAAATATTTTCCATTAGTATAAATTAGAAAGTCAAGTAAACCAGTAACTTAAAAGTAAATTGAATGAGTACAAGTGAAGGGTTGTGAACTACACTGTGGGAGGTAACAACAAGCAGCATGAGAAGAAGGACAAGAAGTGCTGCTGTGGGAAAATATGACCAAAAAACCCCTGAAATCCTCAGTGCCCTCCTTTTAGAACCATTCAAATAGAGTGTCCAGTGGTCTTTTCAATCAATGTAAAGGAATTCTCGAAAGGTTTATGTGCAGGATTGGTCTTGCAAATATACAAATGGTCTGACACATAATTTCATTCAAATATTTTCCATTAGTATAAATTAGAAAGTCAAGTAAACCAGTAACTTAAAAGTAAATTGTAGTGGGGATCATCCAGCCTTGGTGGTGCCTTTTGTAAACAAATATTTTTAAATCACAGTATAAAGACAAGAGAATCTGAAAGCCATTGAGAAAAAGAAGAGCAGGGAGAAACTGGAGACAGTAATGAGGAAAAGATTATACTGAAAATTTTGTGCCATTTGAGTAGTATCTGTAATCAGTGCTGCTTCCAAACTAAGTAAGTGACCTGCTAAAACATTAAGAGTAGCTGGGAGCTGACATTTCTTGCTAATTAAGAACATAAACCAAGGGCTATTAAGGTCAGTGGGACTGTTGAAATTTCACGATAGGTTTGTTCCACCTTATTTTGACACCTGTCTAGCACTAGAAATTTTACATGCTGGTAGTAAAGAAGACTTTTGAAGTCTTTAATTTGATTCATGTTTCTCCACTTGTACATGCATACTGGTGTGTTAGTACTCTGTCACTTGAGACTGGAAAGTGTTCTGTTGTTGTTTCCTTTTTACTATGCACAGAAGGGACACTCATCAGCTTGATCCTTTTTTTGTTTGATACCTGTGGTTAAAATTAGGGCAGATGTTATACACATATGCTGCTTCCCCCAGTGCTGGTCTATTACACATGTATGGTGGCTCTTTGAGAACCAGTGGAGCATTGGCACAAAGTTGGCTGTCTTACTTTTCACCACGAAGGCACAACTCCACCACATCTCTCCTCCTGGTACTGTTGGGATGTCAGGTTCTGCAGGAGTCTTGTAGGAACAGAACATGGATATCAGAGTGTGTCATTGCCTGGGTGGTTTTGCACCCCTATCTCAGTATCTACCATCTCCAGCAAAAGTTCCCTGACACCAAGGGTATCCTTGCCCCTTCTGGAGAGGATGTTTTCTGTCTCAGTCCATCAGCACTTCATCAGTGCATACAAAACATACCTTCTCCCAGATTTCTTTTTAATACAGGATGCAGCTGTTTTGTTCAGGCAGGATCCAGACCACATTGCCTCTGTCAAAGACTGTGAGCTCAAAACTTCATTCTCTGGATTAGTTTCTTGTTCACTGGTCTGTCTAGATTGACATGGATGTTGGGTCTGCTGTTACAGGGCAATCAATGAGCACTTTTAATAATTAAAAACCTAGAATAACCTCCTTTTTATCCTGCTTTTCCCCAAAGATTCTTTTGAGAGAGCCAGCTTCCTCCCATGCCAGAGGCTGGGCAGACTTGCATGGATAATCGGAGATATTCTGAGGACTTGCTGTGGAGGGTGCTGGAAACCACGTGCATTAACCTAACACAGCAGGTAGAGGTTGAACCATCTTAGTTTTATTGATGTTCCGTGCTACCTGTCCTCATCTCATCTTCAGGGAAGTCAAGCAAGTGGACAGCCTGGGAAAACATGTTATTTGACTTAACTGCAGTTTTGACTGGCAAACTATCTGACCCTATTTACCTGCTGCTGGTTCAAATTGCTCAGCACATTTTCAGGGCTTTTTTGCTCTTTGTACTGGTCCTACGGATTCTTTCTTTTTGTTCTTTCAGAAACACCAGCAATTTCCTGGGCCATGTTCACAGGTTACCCATCAGTGTAGGATGGACCCAGCCTTCTAGTCAGCAAATCTCTTGCCGTCTTTGTGGCTGAAAAAGGTGGCATCTCAAAGGAGGGACAGCTCTGCCATTTAGCATCTCCCTTTATCTTAACTTGTTCTTTATTTTGGCCTCAGAACAAAAGATTCCCAGGCCACTCTGTAGTCATGAAAGTTTCCGCTCTTTGCTGCCAAAACACAAACATTCTTCAAGACTTTACTGATGGCCTTTGACATCACATGACCCTGAGCAGTTCCAGCTTCCTGGGCTGATCAGAGTGCAGGCAATGATTCTGGAAAGATAGCCGGTCACTGAACCTGACTAAAATTACATAGAAGCTCACACTTCACAGGGCTTCTTGGGTACACACCAGAGGTGTGCTCAGAATGAGCTCTACCTCTGTTTGAGCTTGGATCTGAACTACTTTTTACTGTGCTGGCATTGCCTGACATCAGATGCCCAAGTGACTAGATACTAGGTTAGAAGCAGCTGGTTAATCCACTTTGCCTTGCTGTTACTTTTCATTTCCCTTTTTGCTTCCCTCTTTGTCTTGATTCTCAGAGAAGGTCTGTCCCATGGGATCCTGCCTGTACTGGAGATTGATCTGTTATCATGGCTTACCATAAAGTCAGTGTTGGCATGGCAAAGGGGAGGACGGGCTTTACCATAATTGTTTCCTCATGACAAAAACGAAAAGTGTCTGGTTCTCCACTGTATGGATGTGGAAGCTCTTCAGCTGCCTACCTCATCCAGTTCATCTACAGCCTAAGTGGGGTTGTTCTTCGGATAACAACTAGAATTTCCCCCACATTTCTTCTCAGAGCTGAAGTCTAGTTCTGCTCATTGCCAATAAAAAAACATCTCTGATACTCACTTCAGCAGGTTGGTGTCTAGTTGTTTTTTTCAGCTTGTTCCTGGTTTTTTTTCGGCCCAGTGAGCTGATACATGCCTTTCTGTGGTCAAGTTAAGGACCTTCAGGGCTTATCAACCTTAATTTCTCAGGCATAGCCAGCCAAAGAAATTTTGACTTCAAGATCATGCTTGTCTCTGAAAGTTCTTCCTTCACTGAGAACAAATTGCCTGATCCATTGTAACGTAGAAACGCTCCATAGCACAGATGTCTCTTTTATAAGGTCCTGCTTTGCTCTGGAGTGTGAGATCAGTCCTAGCTCATAGTAAGTACGTTCACCTCATCCAAGTTTCCAGCATGTTGCACTGACAGTTCCATCTCTGCCTTTAATGCCTCTGCCTTCTGCTTATTTTGGAGTAATCCAGTGAAACTGGAGGAAGCTGGACTTCTGTGATCTTCCATTGCTGTCACTACATACTGTCTTTGATCAGCTGATTCCTGTGGTGTCTACACTCTCTAAAGAGCTAGTCCAGAGCATACCCTGCTGTCAGATGCTATTTTCCCATGAGGATTTGGACTTTGTTCTCATCATTCCTTTACTCCAGCTCTTTGTCATCTTCTCATGAAAGCAGCTTCCTTCATTGCTGTGTACTGTTGGTGTAGGTTAAGGAAAAATTAAAGCCTTATGAGCTCTGTTCTTTAAGGTTAAGCTATCCCTGGGATCTACCTGAAGTTTCTTAAAGCAATATCACAGTTCCATCTCCATCAGCCTGTATTCCTTTCCCCCAAGTGCACACTTCATTCAAGAAGATTCTATACATAGGAGGTGGTTGAGATATTTTTTTCCTCAGACACCATAAGTCCAGTCCAGGGAAGTTAAATACTTTGGCTATTTCTGAGTTAAATATCAAGAGGGAAAATGCTCTGAACAAGACTGTGGTGATTCCGTAACCGATAGAACCTTTATTGTCTGAGCGTGTTCTGTCTGGACTGAAATCTTCTGTGATAGGAATTCGTCAACTTCATGCCAAAACTAGTGCTGTAAACACAACTTTACCAAACATTGTGCTGTGTCTCAGGGTTTCAAGAGCCATTTAATCTTATTCCTTGAGAGAATTCTCAGTCAATTTGACTGTTTGAAGACATTTGGTTGGAGTTCTACAGAAACAGAGTGTTACAATGGGAGCGTTTGAAGCTTGTTGGTGGGATTGCTTACGAGTAGGCAGTGCCATTCAGTATATGCATGCTTCACGCCTCTCCCATCCTTCTGTTTTCCATCCAGGTAGTTGAGGAGTGGCTGCAATGGCAGCAGTCATGCTTGCTGTGTAATGGCCTGGGTGAGGGAGGGAGGGAAAAAGTGTGAGGGTACTCTCCAAGGAAATTCGAAGCGAAAATGATCCTGTGTTGACTGGTGAGACTCAAGGAGCCCCACTTTCAGAAGGCACAAGTGGACTACATGTTCTTTTTTTTTTTTTTTAAAGAAATTAATATCTTCATGTAATTAATTTAGTGAGAGAGCCTTTGAATGTGTTCAGAAAGGAATCTGACTAATTTGGATTTCTAAATTGAGGCATACAATGTCTGCTTCTGAAGGCCTTCAGAACTACCTCTCTCATAAATCAAATTTGCCTACCTTTCTTCAGAAAGGCTCCTTCATTAGGCACCTGAAACCTAAGTGCAAGTTGTATGTGTGCAGTAGGTGTTCTGGATTCCTGTATATATTCAAGTCTTAAAACACCATTCAGCTTCTACATGATGCTGTGAGAGTCTAAACTTTATGGGTATTCTAATTTATAACATTCCCAAAGTCTTCAGTTCCCAAAGTTCAGCAGAACCCATTTTTTATGCAGCAAGTAGGAGCCTGCCTTCTACCCAGCTGAGATTCAGAGCCGAGGCACCTCTTTGTCCGTTTTCCCTTGGAGACCCTCTGGGTGTTGTTTCTCGGAGTCCCCTGGCAGGGCCGGGTTCCCGGCAGGCGGGGCGCAGCGCTGGTAGGGGGCGTTGCTGGCTCCCGTGTCGCCTGCTGGCTGCAGTGCTTGCCCAGGCGCTGGAGCGGCGTTTGGAGCTCCCGAGCGCGCTGCTTGCGGCGCCAGATCCTCACCCAGCTGGGACTGAATTCTTTCCTCCACAATGGCACAGCTTCAAGAGGAGGGGTGGAGAGTGGCCCACCCAAGAGCAGCCCATCGCCTGGCAGTTGCGGCGCTCTCCAAGGAGGTGGGAGATGTGAGGTGGATTTCCTTTAGGCAAAGAAGGGAATTGTGGGAGATCCGAGTTCAACCTGGGTGAATGCTTGAGCCTTTAGGCTATTGTATAAAAGGGGCAGCAGCACCACCCTCTTACTTCCCCATCTTTGAAAAGAAAAGTGAATCCTGTTAGGATTTTGAAAGAAAAGGCGTAGTCGCCTGCCTTTGAAACAAGCTTTACAGGTTGTGGATCTCAGCTGGAAGGAGACGCCTCTGTGGAATCATTGCAGTGGTCCTCCTGCTGAGTAGGCCGGCTCTTTAACTAGATGGTTAGTTTGGGTATTATGCTAAGGTGACACATTCCTTCTGTCCAAATGAGAGGAAACTTTAACTTGTCAAACTTTTCAAAAATTACAGAGTGCAAGAAGTGAGACTGCCCTGCCAGTTGCGCTTGGAGTAATTGGTAGTGCCAAAAAAGCGGTTGAGGCTGGGGGGTTTCTTTGGTGTAACGTGCCAGTCTCCTAAACAAGCAGAGCAGAGTGTGGCCAGTTGTGCAGATAATTTAATCTGTGATGAGAGAATGAATTGATCCTTAGTGTAACCTTGTTTAAACTTACCTTGCTGGTGTTGTTCTTTTCTAGAGCTTTTTATTAATTTGGGAGCAATTTGAAGACACGAATCACCACAGCTACCATTCACACCATGGCTTAGCAAGCGGGCTGCTCATTGGCCTCAGAGTTTGCCTGGCTTTGTCACTGGCTGCTGGTCTTTACCAGATCATCACCGTGGAGAGAAGCACGCTGAAAAGGGAGTTCTACATCACCTTTGCCAAAGTATGGGTTACACTGGGGAAGCTGGTCCCTTCTGCTGTAAATACAGTTGTGGCATGCAGTTAACTGAAGCACTAAGGTCTTTTCCTCCACAAGAAAGTTAATGTTTAAGTGTCTGATTTGATTAAATTGCACCCTGTCATCATCCTCTGAGTAGTCATTTGAATTTGACAAGGAGTGTAGAGCTTTTTTAAACAGAAATCCCACCTTTCATTGTGTGGTTTTCATTCTGTTGATTGAAAATTAAACAATGGGCACATAAAATAGACAGAAATGTAAATGCAGTTCCTCTAACTGTCATCTCTTTATTCCAAGCTGGCATGGAGTCATTTTATAACTTGTACTCGTCTTCTCTTTCAGGCCTGCATTCTCTGGTTTTTGTGCCACCCATGTCTCGCAACCATTGCTGTAATATTCAGAGAATATCAAAGAGAAAAGGTATGTACAGGCAGGATAAAAGAGATGGAATTTGAATAGTAGTTGCACTTCATGTTCAGTGTTTGTTAGCAAACTCGTGCTCTTAGGCTGTTAATCTTATGACCCCAAAGCAACTTGAAAAGTCTTAGTCACACGGCTCTCATTGATGCTAATGTGAGTCATATTTTACAAAGGCATGCAGGGTTTGAATCATCTAAGGGCAATCACTTCTAGGCTAAGGGAGGGAGAGGGGCAGATTGTTAAGTCAAAGGAAAATGTGGAGGGGGTGTTTTGTTTTATTGTTTGCTTGTTTGTTTTTTAATTAAAAACACCTTGGGGATTCTTTTAACCAAGCAACTAGAAAGATAAATCAGTGGATTTTTTTGGTTGTTTGCTTTTTAGTCTTCATCCTTTAAAAGCTTTCTGTGGCTAAATAGGTCAGGGAACCTGTGGCTGAACTGTATTCTTCAGATGAAGAAATCTGTTCAAATATGCAGTTTGGTTTGTGAACTCTGAACAGTTAAAAACAAAGGTGGACTCACTGGGTTGCTTAAACATCACAGGATCTAGAGAACTGGTGTGTGGAGCCTGCCCTGTTCAGATACAGTGCACAACTATTCTCAGGTGATTGACTGCCTATTCCAGGGTAGAGTTTGCTGCTTTTCCTTATGATTATAATCATCTGTGGATTTGTATGCAAATATTTTCTGAAATGGGGGCTTTACTTGTCTAGAGGATACATAAGGGAAAGAAAAAGGTTCCACTAAAAATACATACTAAATTAAATATACTATGTTGGATTTTTTTTGAAAAAACAAAAAAGCCAAACTAAGAAAAGAAAAAACTAGGGAGGAAAAAAAAGACTCCTCAACAGCTACTAATTAAGAGACTATTTGTTGTTGCTTGATGGAAACATCATCAGGGCAGGAGGACAGTCTCCAGAGGTACGATCGTTAAAGGAAATTTTACAATATTTTGGGATTTTGAGCTTGCTGAAGGGTGAGGGTACAGCTGCTCTGCTCTTGCACTTGAGCACGTTTAACCATGGTGTGCAGCTGCAGATCCTACGTAGTGATAATTTAGCTGTGTTTCCTTCTTTAAATACACTCCAGTACAGTAAAGAAATGCATGGTCAATAAACACTTATTTCAGAAAAACATGTGTTTTATAAGACTCTCTATACCTAAACTTAGACTTCTGCTTTCTCAGAAACAGTTGTTTCCTTTATGTGTTTGATAAATACTGCCTTACACATCTCTTGGAGATGAAGAGACTTGCACTGGAAAGAGGTCTGGCCAAGTGATAATGGTACATCACTGTCCTCACAGCTCCATGACTCTGCTAGTGCAAAGTGTTTCCAGGCTTTTTTTTTTTTTCCCCCTTCACTCTTGTTGTAACAATAGAATCTCTAAACATCACCTCTGCTTGTGAAACTGCATGGGTGGTGAATTGCAAGTCTGAAATTCCCCAGAACAGAGACTGCCAGAAGGGTTATGTGACTTGCCCAGGGCTATCTTCTGATTTAAAAACACCCAGGTGTGAGAGTCTGAATCTTGGACTTGAGGTTCATGTTCAAATCTTTTGTAACTGCAGCAGCATTAAAAGGTGTAAAGTTAAACCTCAAGCACTTATACAGTATGCTGATAGAAATGTATTGGGGGTTCTTTAGTGGTTTTTTTTCACTTTTTCTTTCTTTTTCTTTTTTTTTCTTTCTAGATTATTACCATAGGTGTTATCCTGTGTCAGTGCATCTCCATGGTTATCCTCTACAGACTTTTTCTATCTCATAGTCTATATTGGGAAGTATCTTCACTGTCTTCAGTGACATTGCCACTGACAGTGTCATCCGGACATAAAAATCGACATCACTTCTGAGATGTTCAGGAAGAATGCAGTATGTAATAAATGTGCAATAATGACTGAAATATGCAGGTATTTTTGTCAGAGGTGTGTGATACCTTGGTTTCATTGGGAAACTGAGTGATATCAGAGCACTTCACAGACCTTTGGTCTGACAAGGTCCCTAGTTTAATCTGTTAAAAGTGTTGTGGAGTGGAAAAATCCAAAATTTCAATAATTCTATAAATATTGTTTATGTGTAGCGTGTGGTGCTGAGGTGTATCACAGAAAAGTACAATGAATCTTTTTTTTCTTTCTCTCTTTTGCAGACACAAAAAAATGTCCTCACTTTATATCAATACTAGGCTTGAAGGTGTTATAAAATGCAGTTCTTAGAACACCTACAAGCTCAGACAAGTCTGAAATAGCCCAGTTGTGAAATCGGTGTGATGCATAATGATGAGTACAAGTTATTTTATTTCCATGCTTTAGAGAAAATGCATTTTATGTATAAGTATAAAAGAAGGGGGAACAAAAGAGAGACTTCCTCAGAAAACACATGTAAAGTGTTCACAACTGACTGCAAGAAACTTTCCTTTATTATTGGTGTGAAAAAAAAAACCTTTTTTGCAACTAATCTTCATACTGGCTAAAAATTTAATGGGACTGAAAATCGTGTTTATATCTGCCTTTTTTTTTAAAGAGAAATGTAACTAAAAATTTCATCCAATAATGAAGGTCCACACAGTATTTGTTGCTTAGAAGACATAGCAACATAAAGGTAATTAAAACAGCACGCTTGCATTTTTATTTAAAAAAAAAAGGGCAAAGAAAATGGAATGGGTGATGTGGTAGTAGAATTTTAATCCTGATATAATTCATTTCTGTTACATTGAGGATTCAATCATAATTAAGCCATATACACAGATTAAATTAACAGAAGCATTTCAAATAAATGTTGGTTTCAGTCATCAACTACCCATGAATTCCTGCCCAAGGATACTTAATCAGGATTAAATTTTCTATGAATAATTGAAAAACAAAATACTCACTGGATTTGTTATAATCCATGTTGGCACTGGGTTCTAAGTAGTTGCCATCTTCCATCCATTGTAATAAAGCCGTACTACTTTGTGATGCCCTAGTATTCAGAAAGCCAGTGTAAATATATACTTTGTTGAAGTGCCTATTTATTGGGTATGATTAAATCATACTGACTTTTTTTTTTTGCCTACATAACAAGAACATACCTATTGCCACTGTGACTGAAATCCTTCTTTTTTTGAGTTTCATTGGTGTTTGTCCTATTTTACGCTCCTTTTCATACATGTGTGGCTTCACAACATGGGTTTTATTTTCTAGTTAAGTGAATGTTTGTTTCTTCTTAATTGTGTGTATTTAATTAAGTCTCTATGAAAACATGAAGGCACTGGGGTTATAGTTTTCAACAGCCCTAACTTTTCTGTTCGTGTTTGCCTCAGCTGTGAGCAGAGTTGAAACGTAATTCTGTTCCACTTCAGTTCAGAGGCATAACCAGACATTTGCTTTTGACTAAGGCAAAATGGCAACATGACAAAGTTGCTCATTAAATCATCTCCTTTCTTATTGTTTGTAATTCAGATCAAGAATGGCAGGTTGAGGCTGGAAAAGATGAGATATTATGATTTCACACAATCTTCAGAATGATTAAAAGATTAATTATTACATTCCTCTGATAACCACACAAAAATATTATTGGTTAAAACTTCAGTCTTTATTTCCCTGCTTATCTCTGTACTTTTCATCTTCTCAAGAAGAAAGCATCCTGGTTTTGATAAGTCTCCAATAATGCAGTAGGAAAGTTCTATCTGTCCTCACATATAACACATGAAATTCACACATAAAGTAGAATTTTCTGATAGACACGAGAAGCAGTTCATGATCCATCATGATAAAAGTGGTAATCTATGCAGAAAATCCTCAGAAGAGGCATCCTATCTGTTTTAGTCTCCAGAAGTATTTTCTTACTTCCTGTAGTCCCTCTGACTTCAGTTGGTCAGTTTTGAGCTAAATGGTATCTTAATTTTGCCTTAGAAATGCACCCTACAACAAGTCATAAAATTAACTTATAGTTAGTCTGAGTGTGAATGTGAAGCTTAAAAGGTTGCCTCTTAATCTTTTGCCCCATAAGTCAACAGGTAACATCATCTTAGTTTGGCATTGAATCCAACAACTTGAAAATCAGATTTTAATTTTTGTATTAACGTAGCTGTAGGGATGAAGGATCACTTTCTCAGGGCAAGTGCTACGAAGGACGTGCATTCC